ATTATGCTATCCCGCGTTTCCATTTTCTGAGAAGATTGCTATTGGTAAGAAGTACATCATATAACATCATTTGCGTAGATTTTCGTTGTCCTTTATATTTTTTTACTTTATTTTTTTAAATTTCTGTTGTCAAATTATTGTGGATGGCATAACACGTTTTTTTATGAATCTGTATTCTTTCTTTCGTATTCCTTGCGAAAAAAAAGTAATGTCGCAGTGATTGTTTAGTGAGCTACGCTTTGTCTTATTCGATATGACCTTAATCATTTGAGGTACATGGCGCGTGGAACCATGATCGATCTGTAAAAGTTATCCTCTACAGCTTTTACAAAAATATCTGCTTGTATATTATCGAACTCTGGTGAGTAATCTGTCCATCTTGACCTTTCAAGAAGGTTAATGCCATTGTTGTAGGTTCGCCATCTTTTCCGCATGGTCTGGTCAGACGATATTTGAGAGATGGACTATCGGATTGTTCAACGTCATCTTCACTGCCTTTCCTCCCATCGTTCTCGGATTATTTGATCGACCAGTTGCTGCTGATCAAATGATGCGATACCCATCGTTGTACCATAGCTTCCAGAAAAGATCCTTTTCCATACCGGTATGCTGTCAACCTTTTTCAACTTTTTTGTTATTGATATTTCCCATTCCAGCGGTTTATGCTCTGGATAGGAATGGCGCTCGTCCATTCGCTTTCGCTATTTTTCCTCTCTTACGGGTTCCTTCAAACGCAAGTCGTTTGGGGTAATGGACAGACGGGTGGTTGGTTGATGCTGGGCAATAGTGCTTATTCGGTAAGTTTGTCATTTTCCGTGAGGCGTAATCTTTATCGCTTTTTTCAGTTTGTGGTAGCTACAGTTTGTTTGAAAGCTCTTCTGGAGTGCGATTCATGGACTTGGCCTGTGGTGCTAGCCAGCATAGGGTCTATATTAGTCTGGCTATTGTTCTTATGCATATATGCGGCGGTAGGTTGTTTTGAAGTTACCTACCTTGAAGGCAGCGTCTCCTCAAAATGGTGGGCATCGGGATTTTACAACCTTGTAGCCTCCGCAAATAACCTATCTGTGAAGTTTGGAGCGAAAAAGCGCTTTTGGAAAGTCCAAAATCCACTCCGGAAGTCTTGCGGACCCTGTCCACTTCCACGCTCCGCCCACTTCTTACATGTAAATTGCAGCGAACATGGACACGGAGAGCTTCAAAAAAGATCATTTTTGCCATTTCCAAGCGCTAAAAAGCTTAGATATGGCTTCAGCATGGCGAGGAAGCTCCGAAAAAGTGAAAAACTAGAAAACGAATTTTTGAAGGAACACTGCCTTTAAAATTCTCTGGTTGATTCCTCCTATGAGTTTCCTTTAGATATTCCCTACCGTCTCGTTACGAATCGGGGCTGATATGGCAGGCATGGCTTGGATAATGATGACATCATGGATGTTCTGGCTGGCATTGTTGTTCATACCATGTGCTACGTTAATATGGGATCTCGTCATTAAGAGGTATAGCTGGTTCTATATTTTTTTACTTCAAATGCCAGATTTTTGTCACAAAAATTTTCATATCTTGTTCCGTGTACT